AATGTTACTGTGAAGAAAAAGACCTCAAGCACTGACACCCCCTTGTAATAAAATTAAGTGAACAAGGTTGCCCTGGACACCAGGTTCTTGGCACTATAGTGAGATGGAATGAAACCAGATTTGGATCTAAGAGTCTGATGACAGATGTCTTGAAGGGCATTACTCTGACATGAAGCGCTCAGGAACAAGTCCTCCTGGGATCTATCCACAGCTCCATGCCTCATGTACTGAATATTTTAATTAAAACCTTGCCTGTGGGGACCAAATACTTAGGAAACTTCCTAAGGAAAGTCATGGGTGTATGAGTTGCTATTTCTTCTCCAAGAAACCCATCTGTTCTCAAAAATAAAGAAAAAGAAGCTATTAACACTCTTGGAAGCAGCTGATGTGGACATCAGGGCAGGAAGGAAAACACAGGCTGGGACACTGAACCGGTCACAAAGGCTTCAGACAGCATTACTTCCATCAGTGCTGTGGGATTTTTTGTTTTCCTTTTGGAAGCAAATATCCTTCTGTGTCTATTGTGCCCTTTGAATTTGGAAGCCATAATACGTCTAGAAGTAAAATCTAGCAAATCACAAGCATTCCTACTTTACTTTATTCACCCAACACTAATCTTACTTCCCTTTTATGCATATTGCACACCTTCTAATGAAATTCTATTTCTTGCTTTTCTTACAATCATATGTGGATAAAGTAGTTTTCAAAAAATTCATTTCTAAGTGGTAAAGAAAGACCATGCTCTCTTATTCTTACACTTAGTAATACTGACATCTTCCACAAGTGACTCCAAAGGTTTCTGCAGATGGAAGGAGAGGGTGTTATAAACACGCATTGTGGACAATCACATACACTCCTATCATTCTGCAAGGACACTTCTTCGTGAGCAGGAGGAAAACTTTCAAAATGAGCCTGTGTTTGTTCTCTGCTACAATCCAAAAAGTTAGTGTCAATTAGAATTGTATCAATATGATTGCAAGGAAGCCTGAAATATAGAGAAAACAAACAAGAAGTGAGAAATATGTTTCCAAGGGTAAACATACATTGGCACATCATAACTATATGAAGTTAATAGTTTACATTAGGGTTCACTCTTAGTGTTGCATATTCTATGGATTTGAACAAATATATAATGATATTCAGTTCAGTTCAGTCGCTCAGTCGTGTCCAACTCTTTGCAACCATACGGACTGCAGCATGCCAGGCCTCCCTGTCCATCACCAACTCCCAGAACTTGCTCTAACTCATGTCTGTCAAGTCGGTGATGCCATCCAACCATCTCACCCTCTGTCGTCCCCTTCTCCTGCCCTCAATCTTCCCCAGCTCTGGGGTCTTTTCAAATGAGTCAGTTCTTCACATCAGGTGGCCAAATTATTGGAGTTTCAGCTTCAACCTCAGTCCTTCCAATGAATATTCAGGACTGATTTCCTTTAGGATGGACTAGTTGGATCTCCTTGCAGTCCAAGGGACTCTCAAGGGTCTTCTCCAACACAACCGTTCCAAAGCATCAGTTCTTCAGTGTTTAATTTCTTTATGGTCCAATTCTCACATCCACATATGACTACTGGAAAAACCATAGCTTTGACTAGATAATGATATTATCCATCATTATCATATTACATTGAATACTTTTACTGCACTCAAAATCCTTTGTGGGGGAAAAAAAAAATTCTTTGTGCTCCATATACTCTCCCTTTCCAAAGCCCTGACTCCTAACAGACACTTGTCTGTTTTACAGTCCCCGACACTTTATCTTTTCCAGGATGTCATATAACAAAATCACATAGTTGATAGTCTTTTCAGACTGGTATCATTCATTTAGAGGTATGAATTTGTTTCCTCCGTGTCTTTTCACGACTTGATAGCTCATTTCTTTTTACTATTGAATAGCATTCTATTGTTTGGATTACACAGCTTATTAGTCCATTCATTTATTGAAGGACATATTATATGCATCCAAATTTTGGCAGTAATGAATGAAGATGCTATAAATATCCTTGAGCTAGCTTTTGCCTGGGCATAAGTTTTCACTGCCTCTGGGTAAATACCAAGTAGAACAAGTGCTAGATTATATAGTAAGAGTGTGTTTCGTTTTGTAAGAAACTGGAAAACTGCCTCCCAAAGAGGCTGCAGCAGTCCGCCTTCCTGTCGGCAATGAGTGAGAGCTCCCGTTGCTCCACAACCTTCGTGGCACTTGGTGATTCTGCGTTCTGCACATGGCCATTCTAAAAGATGTGCAGTAGTCTTCCATTGTTGCTTTAATTTGCCTTTTCATGATGGCATAAAATGTGGAGAATAACTTAATTTTAAACATTAATGGTTTGAGAATTTTTTAAAGATTTTATCTAAGATGAGGAGGACTCTTCGGGGCTGGCTTCATGAGTATAAATCCTGTGCGTCACTCAGACCTTATGCTTAGAAGGTTCTGCTGTGAGTTTAACACTCTGCTCTGGCCAACTTAAAATTATCATACATCTTTAACAAAGTGCTTGACATTTTGGTTTTTCCACTGGGATCTGCAAATTATGTAGCAAAAATGATTCTTCACAGTTAACATCTCCAAGGAGGCTTTCGCATTTTACAAGGAAAACTCATAGAAGATGAAGAAGTCATATCCTTTTCTCCAAAAAGGAGATATCCCTTCCCTATCAGGAGAGATAATCTGTTCCTACATTTTTTCCTGGGTCTGAAGTAAATACATTTAATTATCTTTGTCACTCCATAATGGGACGTGCTGACCCTTCAAGTCAAACCACAGGAGCCCTCGATGTGATTTCAGACATCACATGAAAAAGTGATGTACTAAAGGCTTCCCATATATAAGTCCATGGTTTGAAATAAATATACATTTTCATATGCTTTCTATTATACATGTGTTCCAAATCATTTAACCTATAAAGAAATATTCACAGAAAAACCAGTATATAGTGAACTGATAATTCAAAGAAATGCTTTTTAGATTCAATTAATTTGATACTATTTTCTCTGTAAAAGATATCTATCAGATCTCTGAATGAGTCTTAGTGTTCTGATACACCCAAAGTTAAAAGTCACCCTACATTATTCTTGGAGTGTGGTAAGTATCGGTCAGCTGAACCTGTAATTTGAGCCTGAATGGATCAATCAGTTGAAGACCTGACTCTACACAGGAAGGAAGGAGCATAAAATGTGTCCTGGGCTAAGCATCTGAAGACAAAGAGTCAAGTCTTACTGTAAAACTAAATGCTGTTGTGTTTTTTTTTTTATTTCAGTGAATTAAAATTTATTTTCTTTAGTTTCCCTTGTCTTAAATGCTGCTATTCTTTTTTCATTAGTTATCACATGAAGATATTACTCTGGGTAATGAGTCAGTAAAGAGGGATATAGAGCTGAATAGAGATGCTCATCTGGTGACATCCCCGCTGGTCCAGTGGCTAAATGTCCACTTGCCAGTGCAGGGTCCCAGGCCCCATCCCTGGTCTGGGAAGATCCCATATGCTTGGGAGCAACAAAGCCTATGAGTCACAACTACTGACCTGTATCCTGGAGTCCTCGAGCCGCAGCTACTGAAGCCTACAGTCCTAGAGCCTGTGCTTCAGAACAAGAGAGGCCACCACAGTGAGAAGCCTGTGCCAGCAGTGAAGAGTAGTCCGCGCTCCTCACAACTACAGAGAGCCAGCGTGAAGCAACAAAGACCCAACAGCCATAAAGAAATCAAATTGTTTTAAAACGGCGCTCATTTAATGATGCTTATTGTCATTGAAAAAAAGAACAAACAAAAGCACTCAGAATGAGGATGTTTGGCACAAATATTAAAATGAAATGATTTTATTTTCAAGTAAAATGTTTTTAAAAATAAAATTAATATCACAGAGCAAATGATTATTTCTATTTAAAAATATATAGGTTTACATTTAAGAATGTATTATCAGACACCAAAAATATTTTTCAAATTATACTATAAAACTAGACAAGTCTAGTTTGTCTCTTGAACTCAATTTTCTGTATATCCATGAATTATATGAGTTGCATGTGATTTGCATGAATTTTTATTTATGCATTTTTGCATGTAGGCATGTACTTAAATAGGCATGTGAGCATAAATGTGCATATGAGTATGGATGATCATGGAAACAAATACACAATAAAATGTAATTCAAAAGAAATCTTAAAAATATAAATTATAGGTTCATGGTTGACTCTTCCAAAGTTATTTTTCATGAGATCTCACTTTGTCCACACATTTGCTTTACAGATTTAAGAAGAACTTGAGAAGGTATGTCAAAATTTTACATAATTGTTAGCCTAGCAAGTCAATACTTTCCCTAGCTTGATTGAACTATATCAAACCATCTTATTTGTTTCTATATAATTAAAATATGTATCTTAGAGAAGACTTTGCTTTCCCCACAGCCTTTTTTAAGGCACCCTTGACCTCTTTGTTCCTTAGGCTATAGATCAGCGGATTCAGCATGGGGATGACTATGGCATAGAACACAGATGCCATTTTGTCTGTGTCCATGGAATGGCGGGAGCCGGGCTGTAGGTACATGAAGGCGCCTGTCCCATAGAAGATGGAGACAGCAGTGAGGTGGGAAGCACAGGTGGAAAAGGCCTTTTGATGCCCTTCAGATGAGCGCATCCTCAGAATGGTGACAAAGATAAACAGATAGGAAGCCAGGATGACCAGGTTAGAAAAGACAACATTGAAGCCAACCAAAAGAAATAAAACAATCTCGCTTCTGTTGCTGTCTGAGCACGAGAGAGCCAGGAGAGGTGTAGCATCACAGAAAAAGTGATCAATCACATTGGATCTGCAGAAAGAGAGACTGAATGCATTCCAAGTGTGCACAGAGGCCTCCAGAAAACCAAAGACATAGCATCCTACGACCATCCAGGCACACACCCTTGGTGTCATGATGCTGGTGTAATGGAGTGGTTTACACACCGCTGCATGACGGTCATAGGCCATTGAGGCCAAGAGAAAAGTTTCTACAATCAGAAAGACAGAAAAAAAATACAACTGAGCGGCACAAGCATTGTAGGAAATGACCTTGTCTCCGATGAGGAATCCTGCCATCACTTTGGGAGTGACGGCTGTGGAGTAAGCGAAGTCCGCCAGAGCGAGGTGGCTGAGGAAGAAGTACATGGGGGTGTGGAGACGAGCGTCCAGCAGGGTCAGCGTGAGCACCCCCAGGTTCCCAGCCAGAGTGAGGAGGCAGATGAGCGTGAACACTAGAAAGAGTGGGATCTGCAGTTGTGGGTCATCAGTTATCCCGGCAAGAATGAACTCAGTCACGACTGTACTGTTCTCCTTGGGGATCATTTGTGCAGTAGGCGAGCGGCCTATATCAATGAAAAAAGAAAGGCTGGTTAGTATCTGAACTTAGAACTCTCATGATGCCCAAGATTGCCTTATATCAGAATTTTCTGTGTTAACCTAGGCATAACAACAAAAGGTAATTTTTAAATATTGGTATAAATATGGAATGCTCTACCTTTAAGAATTTTGAAGATACTATAACCCAATCTTCTATCCTCATAAATGACTGAAACTAAAGTTCTGAGATGGAAAGAGACACACAAAATCATCAGAAAAATCTGTCAAATGTGAGATTTGTTATAGGACTTCACTGGCAAGTCAGTGGTTAAGACTTCATGCTTTCAGTGCAGGGGGAGGCAAGTTCAATCGTTAGTCAGGGAACTAATATTTCACATTCAACACAGCATGGCTGAAAAAGAGAAAGAGGGAAAAAAAAGAGCCAATTCATTGGAAAAGACACTGTTGCTGGGAAAGATTGAGGGTAGGAGAAGGGGGAAACAGGATGAGATGCTGGATATCATCATCATCTCAATGGACATGAGTTCGAGCAGACTCCAGGAGACAGCGAAGGACCGAGAGGCCTAACGTGCTGCAGTCCCTGGGTTTGCCAAGAGCGGGACATGACTGAGCAACTGAGCACTCTTGCACCCTCGCTAGACACTGTTTTTCGGTTACAACCTGTGAAGTGCTGTTGATCATTTCGTTACTCATAATAATTTCTTGATCTTAATTTAAGCTTCATATCCCACATAGATCAATACTGTATGAGTAGACCTAAGTAATGAATTAGACTATGATGGTTAGAAATTACTGAGCACTTCCTATTTTCAGGGCACCACATGCATGCTATACCCGCATTGATTCATTACCTCACTGTGTGAGATATTATCTCCATTTAATATATGGGAAACTGAAGCTTACTCACAAGGAGTTACAGACTGAAGTCCTTAAAACTAGTAAATTGCAGAGCTGGTGTTTGAACGCACATCATTTTGAATCAGAGCCTGAGTTCTCAATCACTAAGAAATATTCTCCTAATATTGTATATATAACCCAAATTCTCTTCCACAGCCCTGGGCACAAAAAGGTTACTCATTATATCAACCTACTCATGAATGACTGACTGACTGATTTCATAAGCAATGTGGGGAAATAAAAAGCATGGTCTTTGGAATCAAGAATACAACTTGCTAGTGGGAACTTGGCTGACACAGTATATTTCTGAATCCTATCTGAGTGACAACAGCTATATCCATACAGGTTTATAGTTGAATTCCTCTCCCTTCTCTCCAAAAGAAAAAATGAAAAAAATACCTCTACACTTAAAATAACATAAGTTTGGCATGACATCAATTAGTGGGCTCCATAATGGGCTGGAATTTGTTCAGTAACCCATCCAGCATTCACTTTCTCCTCCAGTACTAGGTAAGTGCTTACCGTACATCAGGTTGTGTGCTAACTGTAAGGTATACAATGAAACTAGGAACCTATTCCCTGATCAGGAAGTATAGAAGACCAAGAAAGATGCACAAATGATCATCACTGTGGGATAGCTTGTTCTTTATTGCCAAGCAGAGAGCATTAATTTTGCCCCTCAGGCCAGGGGGATCATACCATGGTCTCACTTACACTCTAGTTCAGGAAAGGCAAGCCACCCCAGTATTCACGCCTGGAGAACTCCCTGGACAGGGGAGCCCGGCGGACTACAGTCCATGGGGTCTCAAAGAGTCGGACATGACTTAGCGACTAACTCTCTCACCAGCCAATATATCTACTAGTTGATCATTCCAGATGCCCAATGCCAGCAAAGTTTCAGAATGATCACTGAGCTAACTGAGGGGCTTCCCTGGTGGTCCACCAGCTAAGACTCCACACCCCCAATGCAGGGGGCCTGGGTTCAAACCCTGATCAGGAAACTAGATCCCACATTCTGCAAGGAAGATCCTTTTATATGCCACAACTGAGACCTGGCACAGTCAAATAAATAAAAATAAATAAATCAATAAATATTTTTTAAAAACTGATAACTGGAGTCCATGTCCTCTCATTCCTGTAAATTGTTCATTCTGGTGTGATGTTTATACCTTTTCTTTCCTCTTATAATTGTTCTCTTAATATGGGTCCCCCTTGTTTATTTCTCTCTGTTCTTATTCTTTTTAATGAATGAAGTTACGTGCTCTCCAGATTATAATAAATTTTCCATTGAGACACAATTTGATACTCTCAAAGATTTTAGAATTATCCAATGTAGCTAATATTTTGATACTCCAAAAGAGGAAACAAAGAGCAGTTAAGCTTCAACAACTTGTCCAAGTTCTAGAAGTTCATGCATGGCAAAGCAAGGACTCAAGACCCTCTCGTTCATTTTATTTTTTTACAAAAGTAAATACACATCCTCCTTATGAATTTCTTTGATGTGTGTGACACAATCTCTTTTGAAAAATCACAAACACATAATGACATTCAAAGCATTCAGTATTCAGTTGTGGGTAAATCAAGAGGGAAATAGGTGTCTTGATGTATTTTCCTGGTTACTGCTGCCCCTGAAAATTCATACAGATCATAGATTTGATCGGAGGCTTACCTGGCTCCCTGAATAATGAACAGGCAAATTCAGCACTTTCACATGTGGGTTTCAAATCAGAAATTCAATCCATAAAATATAAGAAACACTTTACTGCTATGTTCTTTAGTGTTTGATCAAAAGGGAAAAGTTCTCCAGAACAAAGAGATATTGACAAAAAAATATTTAATGCCAGGGAAGCGGCTAACATGAATCGTATGCTAAGAGCAGCTGATCAGTCTTTTCAGATAAGTCACTTACTTGCTTTAAGTCACTATATATTCATCTATATAATGGAAATATTAGAAAGGCAGCCCTCAAACAACATCCTTCCTGAAAGACCGAGAGACTCCTATAATGTCCTGAAACGGGGCACTCATCATAATCATAATCAAACTCCTGATTATTTGAAGCTATCTGCCCTATTCATTACCGCAGACTCCCAGTAAATCTCATCTTGACAAAAGACCATGGAAGGCAATAGACACCTACAACTGTCAAGGACAACAATCAGCTGAACAAATGAATGGTCAAGGGGCTCTAGCCCTTGGTCTGTTACCTACAATATAAGGGGCTAGCTATAATGTAAGGCCTGTTACCTATAACATAAGGCCAAACGGAGTCATCAGAGAGCTTGAAGACGGAAAGAGTAACACAGCCGTGGAGCTCCCAGGGGACAAATTCCCCACGAGACCAAAAAGAGGTCCCTTTCTCACAGTGCTGGAGAACAAGTGATGGATGTGTCTACAGGAATCCAGCTCTGCTTGTTTCTGGGAGACCATGAGTGTGTTACTGTAATTTGCATTAATTCTCCTAGATAACGCTAACATTAAGTTACATCTTTACATCTAAGCATGAGGGGATTGGAGGAGAGGGTTGCCTCTAAGCCAAATGGATTATAGAAATTATTGCATTCCTTAATTCATTTGAAATATTTGTACCGTTGATAAGAATTATTCATTCATTCAACTACTTTTTGGTCCCAAAGGAGTTTAGCCATACTCCTGGCTCTGGATGTACATATTCATGCAAAGCAAACTTGTTCTTAGTCTCATGGGCTAAAGTTTATTGGAGAAGACAAAAATGAAATGAGCTCACTAATAAGGATATAAAATTATAAAAGAACAAGGTGCTCCTATGAGAGTGAGCAATAAAAAAAAATCTACTTTTAATTGACTGGTCAGAATCAGTTTTGGGGGATGACATTTTTTTCACAGTAGAATTTTTCTCAGGACAGTTAATGAATTAACACCTCACTCAATACTAAAAGGATGAATATAACAATGTGGGTAGACCTAGATATTATACTAAGTGAAGTAAGTTTAATAAAGACAAATATCATATGATTATCACTTAAATGTGGATCTCAAAGAAGTTATACAAATGGACTTACTTACAAAGCAGAGACAGACTCACAGAAATAGAAAGCAAACTCATGGTTACCAAAGGAGAAAGACGAGGAGTGGGGATGAACTTGAGTTTAACTATAATAATCTGTGGTCCAGCTCTCACATCCATACCTGACCACCGGAAAACACAGACCTTGGTTGGCAAAGTAATGTCTCTGCTTTTTAATATGCTGTCTAGGTTGGCCATAACTTTTCTTCCAAGGAGTAAGTGTCTTTTAATTTCATGGCTGCCATCACCATCTGCAGTGATTTTGGAGCCCGAGAAAATGAAGTCTATCACTGTATCCATTGTTTCCCCATCTATTTGACATGAAGTTATGGGACCAGATGTCATGATCTTAAGTTTTCTGAATGTTGAGTTTTAAGCTAACTTTTTCACTCTCCTCTTTCACTTTCATCAAGAGGCTCTTTAGTTCTTCTTCACTTTCTGCCATAAGAGTGGTGTCATCTGCATATCTGAGGTTATTGATATTTCTCCTGGCAATCTTGATTCCAGTTTGTGCTTCATCCAGTCCGGCATTTCTCATGATGTACTCTGCATATAAGTTACATAAGCAGGGTGACAATATACAGCCTTGACTTACTCCTTCCCCAAATTGGAACCAGTCCATTGTTCCATGTCCAATTCCAACTGTTGCTTCTTGACCTGCATACAGATTTCTCAGGAGGCAGGTAAGGTGGTCTGGTATTCCCATCTTTTAAGAATTTTCCACAGTCTATTGTGATCCACACAGTCAAAGGCATTGGCATAGTCAATAAAACAGAAGTAGATGTTTTTCTGGAACTCTCTTGCTTTTTTGATGATCCAGCGGATGTTGGCAATTTGATCTCTGGTTCCTCTGTCTTTTCTAAATCCAGTTTGAACATCTGGAAGCTCGCGGTTCATGTACTGCTGAAGCCTGCCTTGGAGAATTTTGAGCATTACTTTGCTAGTGTGTGAGATGAGTGCAATTGTGCGGTAGTTTGAGCATTCTTTGGCATTGCCTTTCTTAGGGATTAAAACTGACCTTTTCCAGTCCTGTGGCCACTGC